AGATAAACTTTCCATGGAAGGAAGTCAAGAAACAGGACACATCTCTTGGGAGAGGGTGTCCCTTGTGTTCACAATACAAGGGTGGTAACCTTTCTGTTATAGCTGTTTTTTGTTTTTTAAAACAATAACCACATGACAGAGACCTGGTAATTTTTTTTTCTATAAAGAGCCACTGCTGACCACAGAAGAGAAGGGGAAAAAAATCAATAGAAGGCCACACAGAAGTAAAAAGCAACTTAATTGGATTTGTTTTTTGTTTTGTGTGTAAAACACATACACATTCAAAAAGACTAAACTCAACTGGTTTAATTAAGAACAGAGAACATGAAATTTTAATGACACAATAAACATATTAAAGCAGACTACAAAGCTTTATTATTTAGAGTTACAAAAAAAAAAAGATGAAGGAGGAAGGCAAGAAGAACGATACAACAGGAGAAATAAAGAAAAGGATGGCATAGCAAGATACAGGGCTACACGACATGACTAACCATGCCCAGAAAGACAGAACCACTAAAAGGCCACAGATATTTCCTAGGACCTGAAGAGCTAGCCAAGAAAATTATACTGTTCATGGCTAGCTACTGGCTTGGGCCATAGACTTCAAAGTATTACCACCTTTTATCCTTGCCTTTGCATGGTTAATGCTCTGGTTAACCACTGTTCACAGCTCTTTAATTGCTCACTGAAACTTTTTGAGGCTTAGAGAAGGTCACAGGCCAGCAGTTCCCCCAGATGAGCTATGGTTTAGTAATTCAGTCATCTCCAAGTTTCTCCTCTAAAAAGGTAGCACATAAAATGCTCTCATAATGTGTTTAATAAAAGTCAGAGGACAAAACACTGCTTGAATTCAAAAACAATCCATGGAAATCTTTTCTTTAGTTTTGCATTAAAAAAATAAACTGGGACTCAGCAGAATTGGGCCCTACTTCATCATCACCACCAGCACAGCACACCTGACTTCCCACGTGTTCAAGTCCTGTATGCCCTATTGTAGCTATGGGCTTTGCCTGGCCCTGAACCAAGCACCCTCTACACACTACACTCTGTAGTCTGATGGAAAACAGGAAGATTCTCCCAAGGAGATTCCAAATCAGCACAGAGAACTCTCAATCCACCATCACCCATCATACTTGGTGTGCTCCTTATTTTATTCCAAGAGCATAGAAATGTTCTGCTCTTTGCCAGGCATTGGTGGCTCATGTCTATAATCCTAGCAACTGCGGAAGCTGAGATCTGAGGATCGCAATTCAAAGCCAGCCTGGACAGTAAAGTCTGTGAGATTCTTGTCTCCAATTAACCACCAGAAAACTGAAAGTGGTGCTTTGGCTCAAAGTGGTAGAGCACTAGCCTTGAGCAAAAGAGCTCAGGGATAATGCCTAGACCCTGACTTCAAGCCCCACAACAGAAGAAGAAGAAAGAAGAAAGAAGAAGGAAAAGGAAGAAGAAGGAGGAGGAGGAGGAGGAGGAGGAGGAAGGAAGAAGAAGAAGAGGGGAAATGTTCTGCTCTTTTGAAGATAACAGAGTCTCCCTTTCAAGCTCCATCCCTTTCTCTTCTCCTACTTGGTTCTAGGTTATTTTTCCCTTCCCCATGGGACTTGTCTCAAACCTCCTACTTTCTCTTTTCTCTAAAGATTAGAGTTCTGGAATCTCCAGCTTTCCCTTCCTCTGCTCCCTATATCTTTCTCACTTTTCTCCTCCCCATACTGGATTCCTCTCTCAGAGGAAAAGAGTGCTTAAGAAATATATCCAGAACACAGAGTCTATCCTTCAGAGTTGCTCCCCTAGCTCTGCATCTGCTGGCTGTGTGACCTCAGGCAAATGGCCAAACCTCTCAATGCCTCAAATTCTTCAGTGACAGGAACTCTATCAGTCAATCACAGAGGTCTCCTGTGATCTTAACATTGAAACATTCACCTGTATGATCATAAATAATACAGTACGTGACACATATACTGGGAACAAATGAATTATAGAAACTGCCTTTCCTCAGCAACCTGTCATTCCACCTTCACATCCCAACCAATGGCTCTGAAGTCTGTGCCTCTCTGGGCCATCCAAGTTCTGAATTATTTACATACAGTCAAACCAACATATCAAACTAATCAAAGAAAAGGTAGTTCTGAATCTAACAGCAGACTAAATTCTAGAATGCTTGTTCTATGCCATTGTTTAATATTGTGAATTTAACATTACGTTAGCAAACAGGAAATAATGTAAAAGTGCCATCACAACTTATGAATCAATGTATTTGTGAATCTAGTAGGAAGAATACTGTAGGGAACCCTAGAAAAACATCTGTGCTTTATGACAATGACACATGCTCACAAAGAGGAAGCCACGTAGCCCAAGGCACAGAGAAAGCTGGTGGTCAAGACCCAAACCAGCTGATGGGCCTCTGGTGCAGAGCTCTTCCACCCACATTTTTGAAAAAGGCAGGTTAATTAAGTCCTAAATTACCAGTGAGTGCCCTCTACAGCAAGTCAGCTTCAATGTTCAGGTAAGGCCCAAAGCTAAGTTGGGATGACCAAGTGATTACAAACACTGTAAATGCTTCTTTTTTTCCCCCTAGGCCTTGGCCTTTCTCTGCAAATAAAACCCACATTATTCCAGGTACTAGTGGCTCACATCTATAATCCTAGCTACTCAGGAGTCTGAGATCTGAGGATCTGATTTCACAGACAGTACGGGCAGGAAAGTCTACAAGACACTTAACTCCAATTAATTAGTAAAAAGCTGGAAGAAGAGCTGTGACTCAAATGGTAGAGCACCAGCCTTGAGCAGAAAAGGAAAGCATGAGGTCCTGAGTTCAAGCCCAAGTATTGGCATGCACACAAACACACACACACACACACACACACACACACACACACACACACACACAACACCACCATTCTGCTGTTTTGAACTTGGTTTTGGAGAGGGGAAATAAAGAAGTAAAGAAGTATCTTCTCATCCTTTCCCATAATTCTATCCTCCCCTCCCCACCAATGTCCCAATCACCTAGAAAGTTTACAGAAACTCTCTAACTACAACAAATGAAAGCAGGTAAGAAGAGGGAAAGGGGAAAGAGGAAAAGGTGTTGTATGTATGCAATACCACAATGACCTCCCATCTCTTCATCCCACAGGGTAGAAAGCACTTCATCTCAGCTGCTAATTCCCAACAGGGAGTCACCAGAGCCAGGTGTCATAGGTCCTTCAACTGAGAAATGTGCTTTCTCTGCAATCCAAGGAGATCTAATCCTTTCCTAACCATCTACTCTAGAAGTGCTCAGGACACAGGTGCCAGCAAGGCCAATCCTTCCCTCCTTTCCCTTTAAGCTATGAGGGAGACCTCAGGGCTGGGTTATTTCAGACAGCATAAGGAGGATGGGGGAGAAAATTGCTGGCAGCATCCTCCTTCTCTACCCCTCCCCCTTCACAGCCAACGTATTCATATCTTACTCCATAGACAGCAATCCACCTCATCTAATTCCCTAATGGCTGAAGCTATGGAGTCTCCCAATGTCCAATGTGTGTTTTCTGTCATATTTTTGTCATCCACACTGCTCTTCCCTCCGTTGCCCCTCCCCATTTTTAACCCACCCTTCATCACCACCAAGTTACCTTTCCAATTAAAAAAAAAAAAAAAATCAGTGAATCTAAATAGAGGGGCTCCAAAAACATAGGAAGAATGGAGACAAGCATGCCGGCCTTTACTTAAGAAAAGATAAAGGGCACCCAAGTGAGGGGTGGATAGGGAGATGTAGCCAGAGGCCTGGCATGCCAGGTAGGTTCCATGATGTCGCTAAATGAACTGACAGTGAAATCAATTCGAGCAATTTCAGGAGGTCGGCCTTATGACACCGGGAGAATCCCAGCGCTCAGTGTTTTAAATTAAAAAAAAAAAAATCCAAAGGCTCAGCCAGAACGTGCTGGGGAAACCCGGGTACTGTATAAAACGAGCCTGGCTCCGAGAAATGCCTTGTGCTTTTTTTTATATAGCCATGGAATGGCTTAATAGATTCTGTCTATCCCGAGAAAGCACGCCCGGATGAATGTCAAAGCCATCTTACGACAGCGGAGGCCCGGGGATGCCAAATCTGAGGGCACGTTCCTCCATGAAAGAAACAGACTGATTCGAAGCCTCTTCTCCCCTCTACCTGGAACGTGCCACCGCCACGTCGGAAAGCAGCAGCCTGGCAGGAGCCGGGGATGCCCGGGGAATTGGGAAGAAGGAGTTGCTTTCCATCGCTCTCGGTGGCGAGCCGCCTGGCAGAGATGCTGTCAGCCCCTCGGGGAAGACGAAGGAGGCCGGGCGGGACGGGCAGGCACGGGGTTCCCGGACACACACGCGCGCACACAGCCGGAGATGCGCGGGCGCGGGCGGGTCTGCGCCAGCCCCGGCTGCCCCCGCGCCCCCCGCCGCCGCCGCCCGGGGCTCGGGGCGATGCCGAGCAAGGAGCACACCTGGGAGGCTCCATCCGGCCGCGCGCCCCGCTTTCTCCTCGGGCGGCGGCCGAGGAGTCCCCCGCTATCTTCACTTCCCGGCACCAAACCCACCCGAGCTCGGGTCTCCTCCGCCCGCCCAGACTGCAGGCAGCCCGGAGCGCGCAGACAAGCTCGGCGGGCAGAGGCCCGGGCCGCACTGCGCCCCGCCCCGCCCCACCTCCGGCCCCCTAAAATAAATAAAAGGACACAGGGAACCCCCCCCCGCCCCTCCACATCCTGAGGAACTTTCCTTGCAGGACTTGGGGCTCCACCGAGCAGACAAGGAGGGACGCTTCGGTCCCGGGGAGCCCCGGCTGTCGCCGTGACCACGAGGAGATGCTCCTGGGGAAGGAGGGGTCCCCCAAGTCCTTCCAACAGCTGGCCCTTTAAAAGCACCACCTCGGAGCGTGGAACAAAGGCGCCGCCGCGGGGGGGGGGGGCAGCTGGGTGCACCCCGAGAGCGTCGCCGCGGAGCGGACGACCGCGGCCCCCCGCGGGCGGACAGGCGGGAGGGCGGCTCGGGCTTACCTCACGAGTTCCCGGCGGGCCGGCAGGCGGGCTCCGCGCGTCCTGCCCCGCTCGCACTACACGCTGCCGTCGGCCCCGCTCTGTTTTTCTGGGACTAGGCGCTGACTTCACCGACACTCCGTGGCCGGCCAATGGGCTGCGGCGACCGGCCCCTCATTAGCATACCTCTGGAACCGTCCACTCTGGCAGCGCCCAAGGGGCGTGGCCTGTCCTGCCGTGACAGGAAGGGACGTGTGCGCCAATGGGAGGCGAGGAAGCGCCCGCCACCCCGCCCGCCGCATTGTGAGCTCGGCGCGGGCCCGCGGATCTCCGCTGATAACGCGCGCGCTCGCACCCGGTAACCCTTTCTGTCCTGGGCATCCACGCCAAAGACCTGGCCGGCCTCGGGCCCTTCTGGTCCTCCTGAAGGGTGGCCACAAAGGGAGCTTGAAAGAAACCTTAGAAACAAAGTGTCAGCAATGTGTCTTGACTGCATATGGGTTATTTAACCCTTGCGCTCCAATTTGCACCATCTACAGAATGGTCCCATAGTTGGGATTTTGTAGGATGTAGTGAAAATTTAATTAACGTATGTAAGGGTAGTTTAGATGACTGCCTGGCCATCGTGCTGTGTAAACGTGCTACTATAGTTATTAGGCTCTATACCAGGGTGTTTAATATTTCCGATTTATTTGATCATTAAAAAAAAAAAATACCCTAACTTTCAACTGGAAAAACTGAGGTGTGTTTGAATGGCTTGCCATGAAATACAACCGGGGCTTGCACTCAGGTCCTGAGGGTTTGGGGGGGAGGGGAGGTTTGGTTTGTTTTTTGTTATTGGGTTTTTTTTTCCCTCTGTGCAACCCCATGTATTCAGGGTTCAGCAAATGTGGATAATGCTCTTGCCCTTAGGAAGCTTCTGTTTCAGTGGGAAAGAGGGACAGATAAGCAATTATGAGCGCCTGCAATACGAAAAGTAGAGCAAGTGAAGTGCAAATGAAAGGAAAGGCACTGTTCTATCATTCCCCTGACCTTCTCCAGTCCCCTTCAGAATTACCAAACAAGAAACAGGGAGGGGAGCCAGATTACAGAACCAGCAAATAACTGATCTGGAACTTGCTTCCTTCACACTCAGCTTCCCACATCCTCAGAATATCCTCAAGGTAACTCATAACCCTTCAGACTGAGCACAACTGATCCTTTTCCTTTGTCCTTGTTGAGACTCTTCACGGAGAGCCATGTTCCCAGTTAACAGCCTGTATGACACAGGGTAAGAATGGGGCATGATGACTGCACGGGCTGATGGGAAACCCATTACACAAGTTCTTAGATGTCAGAAAACAATCACAAGCCTTTGCTGGGCACCCACTGTCATCTATCTATATTTTTAAAAAAAAATATTGAGCATGGTGGTTCATTCCTGTAGTCCTGGCTACTTGGGAGGCTGAGATTAGGAGGATCATAGACCAAGGAAGCCAGCCTGGGCAAATAGTTTACTGACCCATCTCAACCAATTAAAAGGTGGACACAGTGGTGCACTTGTCACTCTACCTACACTGAGAATGGCCTTACACAAAAAGTTAACCACTATTCAAAAAATAACAAAAGCAAGAGGACTTGGAATGTGGCTCAAGTGATAGAGTGAGTTCAAACCTTAATATTGCCAAATAAATAAATAAAATAAAGCTCCTAGCTATCTGGGAGCTTACTCTATAACCAAGGAGATATAAAGACACTAGAGAAACTACTAAACATTCAGCCTATGCCTCTTCCCACCACCCTACTTTATCCTACAGCTCTTCAAAGAACATGCCCCAAGATCTGCTTGCAATTTACACCACATTTGGGGTAAAACAATTCTTTCTGTGCAGTAACAAAACAGTGAATATGTATCACATGTATCTACTCTAAGTACTGTGCTGTCTGTGCTGAGCTTCACATAACCACCACATAACAAGAGCATTAACACTATCATATGCTAGCCACAAAGGAGGAGAATAATCAATAGAGATACTAAATGAATTCTTGCCCAGCAAATACTAGGCAATATCATTTAGAACCATTTTTAAAACTCAAAACAATCTGAATGCTCTATTTGTTGGCTTAAAAAAATAACAGTACAGGGGGCTGGGAAGGTGGCTCAGTGGTAGAGCGCTTGCCTTGCATGCCTGAGGCCCTGGGTTCGATTCCTCAGCACCACATAAGCAAAAAGAAAAAAGCCGGAAGTGGCGCTGTGGCTCAAGTGGTAGAGTGCTAGCCTTGAGCTGAAGAGCTGAGGGACAGCGCCCAGAGTTCAGGCTCCACGACCGGACCCCAAAAAAAAAAAAAAAAACAGTACAAACATTTGACAGAATATCATGCAACCATGATAATAGAAATAAATTCAAGCCAGGTACCAGTGGCTCACGTCTGTAATCCTAGCTACTAGAAGGCTGAGATCTGAGGATCACAGTTCAAAGCCAGCCAAGGCAGGAAAGGCCATGAGACCTCAAATAAACCACCAGAAAACCAGAAGTAGCGCTGTGGCTCAAGTGGTAGAGGGCTCATCTTGAGCTGAAGAGCTCAGGGACAGTGCCCAGGACCAGAGTTCAAGCCCCACAACCAATGAAAAAGAAAGAAGGAAGGAAGGAAGGAAGGAAAGAAAGAAAGAAAGAAAAAAAAGAAAGGAAGGAAGGAAGAAAGAAAGGAAGAGAAATTCAATAAAAGTGAGTTTAATAAAAATAAAGAGGGAGGGTTGGGAAGGTGGCTCAGTGGTAGAGCGCTTGCTTTACAAACATGAGGCCCTGGGTTCAATTCCTCAGCATCACATAAGCAGAAAAGGCCGGAAATGGTGCTGTGGCTCAAGTGGTAGAGTACTAGCCTTGAGCTAAAGAGCTGAGGTAAAGTGTTCAGGCCCAGAGTTCAGGCCCCACAACCAACAAAAAAATAAATAAATAAAGAGGGGGAAGTGGAAGTGTAGCTGAAGTAGGAGAGTGCCAGCCTTGAGTGAAAAAGCCAAAAGCCAAGCAACAGTGTGAACAGTGTGAGGACCTCAGTTCAAGCCCCAATACTTGTATACACACACACACACACACACACACACACACACACAGGAATAATTGGTACCCCCTTTTTTTTTGAGATAAGGTCTCCCTGTCACTCAGGCTCCTCCTGCCTCAGCCTTCCATGGAGCCATAACTACAGGCCTTTGCTGTACCTGGCTACTGACACTAATACTCATAAATGCTTACAGTTGAATGAAAAATAATGGTTTAATACTAACTTTTCTAATCCCATTAGAATTTTTCTTATTGAATTATGAATAATCTTTTTTACCCATCTACATTTTTCTAAATTTTTCTTTAAAATAAAAATAAGGCATTTTTGTGGTTGTTGTTTGGTCATGGGGCTTGAACTTGGGGCCTGGCTGGGTGCTGCCCCTGAAACTCTTTTGTTCAAGGCTACTGCTCTACCACGTTGAGCCATCCAGCCTCCATTTTCAGTTTTCTGGTGATTATTTACAATAAGAATCTCACCGAAAGGAGGGTGTGTGTGGAGAATCTCACCGACTTTCTTGCCCTGACAGGCTTTGAACCATGATCCTCAGATCTCAGCCTCCTGAGTAGCTATTATGCGAAGTAATTTTAAAAGGCAAAGCAGATTCCATCTGGAGAAATTCAACCTACAACCAAGGCCATTACTATAAGTAGCATATTACCTCATGGAATTGAAGTCTTTAAGATATCCCTTTGCTGGTTCCAGTCTCTTCTGAAAGGATAGAAGGGAAAGGAAGGGGAGGGGAGGGTGGGTAGGGAGCAGGGGGAAGAGTAAGAAAAGCCCTGTTGTTTTTCAAGACTCATCTCAAACAACTTCTCCAAGAATCATCAAAATCATGGTCTAATAATTTCAATGATGAAAGCAACCCAAGGCATCAGCAGGTATAATGGACCTGTTTGTTCTTGACCCAGTAGTCATTGTTTCATTTGGGTAGCAGGCTTGGTGCTAGGGACACCATGGTGAGAGCAAGACCTGGCTCCCAGCTTCCCACATATGATCATGAGTGTGAAGAAGCAGAGCCCCAGGACCGGGGGCAGGGGAGGAGGAAGATGGGGAGGTGGGTAGCAGAGGAGCAAGCAGCCTGTGCTGAGAAAGGGCCCACACGTGGTTAACCACTCTGCTTGTCCCATCTTGGAATTCATTTTTCAACAAAGGACCCTGAATTTTCTCTTTGTATAAATGATGTGGCCCATTGGAAGAAAGGCCTCTGGGTGTGCACTGACAGAGCTGGAGAGAAGCCTGCGGCTGTCCATTCTCCTTCACAAGGTCGCTTTTATTCCTGCTTCCCCAAGAAAATGGGAGGAGGATTCCTGTTTTCCAGCTCTCTTGTACTTTATTTCTTCCTTTACCATGGAACCTACCATATTTGGCCTGAAATAATGTTTATTCCTGTGTAGTTTTGTTTTGCATTCCCTTGCTGCTCCAGATTGTAAATTCCATAAGGTCATGTCTTGTGTCTGCTTATCACAAACAGTGCTCAGTACTGTGCTTCACACACTGTTAGAAATGTGCTTAAGTTTACAGTAATTTAATCTTATTAGTAATTCTTCATTTCTCTTCATGTGTATCAGATTATTCCCAGCAGTCTTCTCACTGTTGGAGAGAAATAAAAATACAGAGCAGGAAAGTTGTACACACAAATCTGGATGGTAAATGTTTAGTAGAGAGCATCCTAGGGGAGCCCCCACAAGTGTGAGGAATTAGAGAGGAGGGAATGGGAGTTTGCAGAGGAAAGCTGAGTTGTCAGCCTTTCCTTCATCCCCACAGAGGTCAGGATGGGTCAGTGAGACCTGGTAAAATCCTGGTTCCTTCATATGCAACATAATTGTAAAGCCCATCTATCCATACTACCTCACACATAAGCCCTTAGTGAATGTATATCAGTATTGCTATTAGGAGAGAAATACATTCTCCCCACCCCCTACCCTTTCTTTCTTCCTTTTGTCTTTTGTGGAACTGGCGCTTGAACTCAAGAACTCATGCTTTTGCTTGGCTTTTCTTTTCTCAAGGATGGCACTCTACCACTTGAGCCACAGGTCCATTTGTGGGTTTTTGCTGGTTAAG